ATATTGATTGATTGATTGATTCAGACCCTTCACTTGGAACACATTCACCAACAGTCATGAGCAGGCGACGTTTGCATCGGAGACTTCCAATATGAATCCTCCTATGCAAACGCCGCTTGCTAATGACTGTTGGTGAATGTGTTCCAAGTGAAGGTCCTGAATCGGAATGTGAGACCAAACCTCTTGTCGACACTTCTGGCAATGGTCCTGCTTCGCAAAGTGAGGACCGTTAGACTAGCTAAGTATAGAGCTAGCAGGTTAGGTGACTCCTACGGTGCATGTGTGCATCAACGTTTTATAATTATTCTAAATCGGAACCAAGAGGAGGGTATATACTTGGTCTTCGTCTCATAGAAAGGGGAGGCCGTTAGTTATCCCGTCTCAAGCCATGATAGGCAATTCTGGTGATAATCCTGCTTCACATTGTGAGACCCACTCCGCCTGCAGTAGTCAGTTGTTAAGCCACAACAGACAACACTACCAGTTTTTGCCGAATGCGTTACTTTTCTATTGAATTCATGAATTCATGTATTTTAACAAAATGTGCAGAACGAGAATGAATCATCTGCTGGAACATGGATAAATACAGTGAAACATCACCATATTTTTTGTCTTTTGTGCATGTCGAGAGCAGTGGAGCGAGGACCAATGTTATTTTGCCATTCATGAAATTCATTGCTTGAATGGTGTTCAACAACCTTGGTCGGTCGTAAGCACACTCTTTGGATCTGCTCCCCTAATAGTATTTGTTTGGAGTGCCTTTTTGTGTGGTTGACGAGGAGACTTGTTCTTTTCGCATTACTCAAATTCAACACAATCTCTTTGAAAATGGTTAGGCGATTTCGATAGCCAATCAATATATCGCTCCTCCACTTGTGTCGATTTAAAATACTCAGAAGGGTATTTTCTGACCCATTGATTACAAATGTCATTCCTCCTTTTTTCTTTCTCCCAGCGATGCCAATCTTATTCGCGTAGAGCAGTAGATGATGGGAACTGGGTTCAACATCTCATTTATATAAAAAGATGCCATCCTTTTTAGCCCAGTGGTTTCAAAAAGCAAAAACCAAGATGAACCTATCTCTTCATTATGGCCGAGAGGACCTGAGTGGTGGGGCACCGATTACCTCCTTACCCCTAGTATCCCTACCTGAATTAGATTCACTCTTTCCCCTTCGCCATACCCTCAAAGGTGATTTGCGTCCTCTACCACTCAACAATGAGTCTCATCTTGGACATTGTCTCTAACACCAAACAAGATCACTAAAATCGCAGCAAATGTAGACATCTTGGAAGTGGATGAGCTAATTTAGCTTTTGAAGTCAATGAAGACCTATTTTAACAATTTTTCATTTGCTGCCCCAATACATTAGCACAAAGAAAAACACTAATTCATGATTTACTGCCTAGTAGTTGTGACCCAAACACACACCTTACCTTAGGAGCAACTTTCACACCACTTTGGACCCAATGATGAAAAACCGTATATCAGGGGGGAGCATTTGAGATGAAGCGGACTGAGCGGAATGAAGCCGTGCCACTCCACAACCTGGCGACAAAAGAAAAATTATCACAAAGTCATATTCCTTTTTAGAAATTTAGAGTAAAAAACCCAGACAACAAAAAAATTACCTAAATAAACGTAATAGGAGGTAATCTATCTCAACATCTTGCATAAATGATTTCCTCATAAGTGAATCTCTTAGGAATCATACACAGTATCGAAATAGGATACTTGCCTAAGGCTGGCTTATTATACTGGAGTAAACTGAAAACGAATTTCACTGCAATCAATGTAAGAATGTTCTCTTGTAGACGTTATAGTTTTTTCATGATTAATTATGCTTTACTAAATACAACAGAAATAAAAACAGAGTCTTCAACGCTTGCATTAACCATGACAGCAACAACAAAAAAATCTCGGATTTGTTATCAACCCTATCTAAAGCTTCTAACAAAAGCCTCTAGGTTCATAGCGTCCAAACGTAAATCCTGAAAAGTTAAAAAAACAGAATTAAAGGAATGAATAAAAATTACAGAGATAAATTTGGAACCGCCTAATAGCCTATCGTGCAATTTATATAAGAAAGTCTTCAAACGAGTTTGGCAAGAACTGATAATTGATGAATAAAGGACTGAGAATACGAGCTAGAGTAAATGAATGGGAGAAATATTAAAATATGATAAAATATTTTTTTTCATAAAATTAAAGCGAATGCAAGAAATTATGATTATGATAGTGGTTCTCATACAGATGATACTAACAATAGTAGCACACAATGTAGGGAGACCCAGTCACCGTAGTGATGGTGATTCACACACAGATGTTACTAGTAGCACACAGTGTAGGGAGACGTGATCACCGTAGTGACAGTAGACATGTGATGATAAACCAAAGGGTTAACCACTTGCAAAACCAACAAACCAAGGAATCGCCGCTTACTGCACGCCAGCCGCGGACGATAGTTTACCGTCGTCACGGTCAACCATTCGCGGCAGAACCCAAGAGGTCCGTTACCACTACTGCCTACGTATTTATAGTCCAAACATCAAAACTTGGGTAGGGCAGGTACCCCCCCTTCGAGGTGGAACTGTCCTAACAAGAAACTTCCAGACGGTACCACGGTCCGGTCCGACTGGACCAAAAGAAACCGGTGTCGTACTATCACCGGGCCTAACTAGGAACAGTCCAAACGACAAAGCAAATGTTCACCTATATCACAATGCCATGGTTCAAATTCAAAATTAACAGAAAACCAAATCAAACAAAACAAGCAAGGCGCATCCTATACTAGAAGATAGGCATCCCGACATCAAAACCCTGTCCAAACAGATCGAATTCGAGTGGTCAATATCTGTTCACCTAGATTCGCAGGACAAACAAGTTGTGTTGTCCAACTTCAAATGTCACATATCATGTCCATCTTTCTTCTCCAAATCGCCGGAACACCCGGTTCACGAATCTCTCTGGGAAGTCCTTCCCAATCAATTCTTGTTGGAGCCCCAATGCCTTCACCAGTATCTCTGATCGTAGCGAGGTATTCCGATCAATGCGGTGCAAGTGGCTTCCAATGACTGCATTTTTTTGCTTCTTACTTCCCCATGAAAAGGGTTGACCATTCTGTATCTTCAATGGTTCATCGGACCAGATACTGGATTCGTTCCCGGACATCTATACACTTCCTAGAAATGGGAAGTTTTGCTTCGTACGAATCTCGCATCCCAGGAAATCGAAGGTTCCTGTCCCGTCATCGGTCCTCTTTAATATCAAGGTGTCTGGATAACAATTCGCAAGAGCATCAAAGATTACCAATCTCGTTGTCTCATTTTTACTGGAGATCACGAGTAGAACATCATCAATTAGTCTCAGAGCCCCAAAACAACGAGACAGTCATCCTAGAGTACAGGTCATCTGATACTCAGAAAACGCACACATGATGCACGCGATAGGAGGACTCGTACTCTTACCCATGGGAACTTTAAGTTCATGTTTTAGCAGGATACCTGTAGCGAAGCAAAATGTATGATTAACCTCAATATGCACAAATTTCAGAATATCGTCCAGGTCAAACCTCTTCCAATGATCAGCACCTGTGGTAATTCCAAAGGTCGCTCCCTTACCTCGGGTGTTAACACAAACTGAGTCAAAACCCTTGGGCTTGAAGTGATCGACGATCCAGTCGATGGCTTGTAGCAGTATCCTATGAGGCAATTTACTGAACATATCCTTAATATCAAAGGAGTAAGAAGCAATTACCCGTTCGCCACCAAGTTTGTTCAGTTTCTTGTTAATGTCGTCGAGGCAAGTTGTCAACTCAGAAACCGACCGCAGATTAAAGTGCCACTTTTTCGGCAAGTTATAGAGTAGGTGATGCAGCGCCTTACTCATCAGCTGAGCAGTCCGAACCGTCGGTTCCATGAACGATGGGCAGATCGGTCGAAATCGGCTCAGGTCCTTATATTTGGGAATAACATAGGCAGCGTCGATCTTCCCACTGGTGTCCCATTGGACAACTTTACTCAGATTTGATCGATTCAGGTCCTCTCTTAGTTCCCTCAGGGCTTCATCTTCAGAGTGGCTGACAATCCGATATCCAGGGTTACACACAAAGGTCTGCATCATGCCTTCAAAATAAGTGTCGGGGCACAGTACTACCGATTCACCCGGATTCCTATCCACAGGGGCAATCACTAATCCTTCAAAACGTTCTCTAGCAGTAAACACGTCCTTTACAGCGACACAGTGAGTCTCCTGGTCTGTGTGTGTAATGCACGCAGACAAATCCAACTCGGAACAGTTGGAAACAAAACCATTCAAATTCTTCCAACTTCGGAAGCCCACTTTGATTTCTTCCCATAGGAGACTGAGTCTGTCAACGCACTCCACACGAGGGATATTCTTCACGTTCGCGAAGAGTGGGTGCAAGTCAGCTACCTCATTCAGTCGAAACATCACGTGACCGTTCACGCGAGGGAAAGTCATACCCGTATAGTTACAGGTGAGCACACCAGATGAAGAAGCTCTTTTGTGGTTGTGCAACAAATCAGCAATCGTGGTATTTTTAGTCCCTACGATGCGAATTTTCCTCCTCGCGCGAAAGGTAAGACACTTTTGTAATTGACAACTCATCAAGACATCATGGACTGCCTTCCTCACTTCAGAGATCACAACACGGTCATCGTACTTGATTCGAAAAGTAAGGTAAGAAGTTAGGCTAAGATTGAATCGCTCCCGAAAACATCGAGAAATCAGCCTCGTAGATACTTACGTGTGAACTTCTTCGAGAAGTCTTTAATCGCTCGATACAATCGGAGGATAGATTTCATACCCCACTTATAGACGTCTTCCAGTTTCCTCGGATTCCGTAGTATACTCACCACGAGTCACCAGCACATTCTTCAGGTATTTACACTTAGCCTTCCATTTTACAACATGTAGTATCTCAAACTCGCCCCCCTTCTCCCACAATGCTTTGCAGTCCTTCAGTGGTCAGCATATGGAATCGTGTTTCACTTTACTTTCCCCGAACATATGAGACAACTTCTTCCACTTCGGGGTCCATCCGTACCACCGTCGGATCTCACCCGTCGGGGAAGATTCCTGAATCAAGGGAAGAATCCAAAAACGCATAGAGGTCGAGGAAGACGCCATCATTATCAATACATCGGAAGCGAACAGGTCAGACTCCTTGTTCCTGAGGTAAGTAAGTCTGTTTTTCCTTACTTCTAATCCTCTCGTTCTGTTTTGGTTTCCTCTTCTTCAACTTCTTAGAAACCTTTGTCCCCACGGTATTAAGGAAAGCTGACCACCTACCAATATACAATTCCTCAAGTCTGTTCAGATCCCGACCCGCAAGCACGTCCACTGGAAGCAAAACATTGTTCCCTAAACCAATGGAAGCGATCCAACGATGAAAATGGGACAGCGTCCGTTTCTTAACCGCATAAAGGTGTTCTCGCCATCTAACGTCACGGGTACGTGTGGTCTTCCCGACATAACAATGCTTACAATAAGGTGAGATGGCAGCATATACGATTCCCTCTTTGTTCAAAAACTCAATCCCGAATAGCCCATACAAACGAACCCATGGACCACCATATCTCTGCAACCATCTAACCCGATCAGTCAGGGCTAACAGTATGACTATGAAACGCAGCAGTTTCTTCAACTTTTTATCGATACTTACCTGAGAACAACGTTTACTGGTGATGTATCTACAAATATGCAGCCAGCGGTTGTCCGGAATACCACATCACTCTTGGTTCTCGTTTGAAGCATTTGCTTCAACATCCTTCGATTCACTGATCTGGATAACATCCGAAGCTGGGACGATACATGGAAAACGCAGTTGCGCACGGTGCTCGGCAAGATCAAAGATTGCATCGATCTTGCCTACAAAAGGAGTACTTTCATCCTTGCAGTAGCGCTGCAACTCTTTAGCATTGCGATCCTTCAACTCCTTCATAATGGTGTCACGAAAGCGTAGGCGCGAGAACGACTTGCTGGCGGAAGTCGGCTTCCCGCTGGGGGGAGACAACTTACGGTTCTTCGTCAACTTCGATAACGAAGTCTTGATGGGCGACTGCTTCTTCGCCCGGATCGGAGTACGAGTACCCTTAGTCCTTGCTCTGGTCACCCGGTGGCTGCGTTCCCCAATGTGGATACATCCACGCATCGGGGTGCGTTTAGGAGGTGCTTCCATAGGTGGACTGTCGCCAATCGGAACATCGTCAGCTCTCTTCCTCTTTTCCGTGATGCACAGGCGTTCGGTCTTCTCGCTCAGTTCCTGTGTGACGCTGGTCTCACTCCCCTCACTACTATACTCCGACTCACTCCTATACTCCGGTTCGTGTACGACTTGCTTCTTCCCTTTAATGTCGCATCTGTCTCCTGCAAGAGTCGGAATAAAATATGTCTTCCATTGTTGAATCCAATCGTCCTTAATTTCACTCATTGGTAAGGCTGCATGCATCGTCACCTCCTTCTTCATTTTCGCCTTCAGGACGGCTTCCTGCTTCGCTTTCGCCTCCTTCTTCTGTTTCTTGGCTTCACATCGCGCTGCTTCTTGAGCCAAATGTGTGTCCTCTTCTTCCTGCTTCAATCTCTCTTTTTCTATGGCTCGTGCTTTCTCAAGCTTACGTCTGTTTTTTTCCTCTTTCTTCGCTTGTACTGCTTCAAAGTGCTCTTTGATGGTTGCCACCCCCTTGGTCAGCTCCGCCACCCTCTCCCGTAGCACAGTTTCCTCCTTCGAGGCGGTGTAACTCTTGCGAGTTTCGAACCTCCGCGGTGAACGAGCTCTTCTAGAGTCCGACGAGGTGGAAGGTCGGCTTGAGTTGTAGCGTCGCTCCCGATGAGGACATTGGTTAGCATAGTGACCCGACTCATCGTAGTTGAAGCACTTCACGGACAACCTGTAGGGTCGTCGATCTCTGTCATTGCCGTAACGCTTGGAGCTTGACATCTTGGAACGCGCTGAACAGGTCTCCAGTCTCCATCGCCAAGCCGATCCGAGATAGTCTCCCGAGCTGGTATCGTAAACACAGACCCTTACTTTACTTAGAGAACACGTGACCAATATTCGGAAAACGACGAAAGACGAAAAAAAAAAATGACTCAGCATCGATAATGACGCTCACTTAAATCCGGTAAGCTTCCCAGATAAGTTTACGCAAGAAATGCACAAATAAACAAATTATAGATAGATCATAGAAGTTCATAGAATGAGGATTAACAATGGATCCACAACAGATTTTCGCCTTAGCAATAGACTTATTTCAAAACCTATACACATCTACGGAACAAGATCAACCACAACATGAAACTTCACAACTAATAATAAAATTATGAAACTGTGACATCAAGAGAAAATCGTGTTTTTAAAGCACTATTTGTCATGAAACTCGACGAAACTCATGGGATAGATGAACTCTGAAATAAATCTTGGTTAGCTTTCCACTTTCTTGAAAGGGTTGGGAAAAGGGATCCTTGGGACCCCTCTTAAGTATAGGAGTAATGCCACCCTTATATAAGAAGGGGGATGTAACAAACATTAAGCACTATAAGTCAATTTTACTGCCAATTATCTCATACATTTTTTTTGTAAAATTGTAAGCCAACTAGGCTACCAGAGTGGCCCGGGCCCACTTGCTCGGCCGGACCTTTTTATTTCAAATTTGGTAAAGAATTTTGATGTGACCCCGAGGCAAAAGTTCTTCAGTTCGTTGTTTTGCATAACATAGTTTTTTTTTGATTTGTTGGATTTTTTTTATTTTATTTTTTTTGTTGCGGGGACCTTTTGTGGACCTCGCACAGTCGGGTCGCCCGCGGCCTGGGAAAACAAGGTGACCCTGTCGGCCCGGCTGGTACCCTAGTTAGCCAATCAAATTAGATTGATCACAAATATTATAAGTGTTTCGAATAGACTAAACATGTTTCATCCCTGGACGCTTTATATAAGATATCATAATCATATTCTTAAAACCACTGAGATATATCAAACATAAACGAATAAATGTAACCATGAAATTTATTGGAACAATGCATGGAGAAGATGGAGGTAGCCAAACTTGAAAAGATGGGTTAGAACTTAGAATCCTTCATGTAGAAAAATAAGGAAGAGTGCAAGTCATTGTAGGATAACGCACTTGGTGCGACAAGGAGATCCCCTCCGAACCCCTATTTTTTTTTAAATTATGGAATCGATAGTTTTCTTCCTTCAACTGATCGTAAAGTGAATGACCAACACCAACCCATAGGAATACCCACAAGTACTAAGCTCTCTCCAGATGATCTAACAATTCTCATACGAGCATTACATTTCTCCCTTGAAACACTTACACAACCAAAACATGCCTTATAGATAGCATCCGACATGAAAATCAATTGACTAAAAATAATTGGTTGGTGTTCACTAAGAACATCGATGCTATGAACATGACGGGGACCTTTCGGTGACTGTTGAACGGTCGGTCACGAGACCCTATACCCCTAAATGGTCGTTCACGCCCCCTCCTTCACGGGTTTTCCTGACCTTTCAGGACTCCTCAGGGAATGGGAAAGGCGGGGAGGGGATTGCGCAAGGGGCCCCTACAACCCTTTGCTATTAAAAAAAAAATAAAAAATTGTTGAGACCCTGGTTATTTTTTTTAATTTTTTGTTTTGGGGGCACGATGAGGCGAAAAAAATGATTGATTGATTGATTGAGCGGTTGATTGATTAAGATTTGATTTATTGATTGATTGATTGTCTCATTGATCGATTGATTGATTGATTGATTGACAGATGAAGATTGATTGATCGATTGATTGGTTGATTGACAAAAAAAAAAAACACGTGCGTACACACACACACACACACACACACACATACACATGCACACACACATGCACATGCACACGCACACGCACACACACACACACACGTGCTCGCATGCACACACACACACACACACACACACACACACACACACACACACACACACGTACACACTCACACACAGAATCACACAAACATACACACACACATACCCATGCACACACGCATACACACATACAGACGGACACGCACACACAAACTCTCTCTCTCTCTCTCTCTCTCTCTCTCTCTCTCTCTCTCTCTCTCTCTCTCTCTCTCCAATCAGGTGCACATCCTATCATGCATTGTGTGCGGTGTGACGAAGGCTCATCCTGCACACACACACAAAACTTGTTTTATGTCTTTTAAATTAAATTAAAATTTAAATATTAAATAAGTCAATATAATGATAAAAAACATCCGAAAAACAAATAGGGGGTTCCTCGAAAGGTCCCTCCATGGTCTTTAAGGAAAAACAACCCTCTCCAAGCCAAAAAAAAAAAACAACGCCCTTTCCTCAACCACACGAACGGGCATTCACGTTTCTGTGAACATGTGACATGGCCACATTTACAGACCCCCCCGTTCATTAGCGGGGGTACGATATTGGTGCCTAACTGACCCACAAGTAGACACACCCCGAAACACACCTAAAGGAATGAACTGAACACTAAGGAATGAACCCCTCAAGTTTCTGGGAATCGAAGTAACTAAAGCTGGTCCCTTACATTCGATGATGTTGACACGGAGAAGCAACACGATTACTAGGTAGCTGGTCCAACATGTACTCATCAATCTTTGAGAGAGAACTGACCTTGATGCATCGATATTCTTAAAATTACGATATGCTACAATGATCTGGAGTCCACATACAGAACTAAAAACACAACTAAAGAAAAGGGCAGCAACATACCTTTGGATAAGGCACCCCTCTAAACAACATTGTATTGCCAAAGTTGCATGAAAATATGTAATCTGGAAAAAGTCCAAAGGAGGTTTAAAGATTCTAGACCAAGAAAGTGGCAAAAACACAAATCAAACATTTACAGACTAAATGAATTTTGAAGATCCTAACAAGTAATTATCTTCCATGGATAACACGAGGTATTGGAACGATCAACTTATTAGTCAAATGCAAAACCTCAGGCAACATGCGCGGCCCATTCTGGACCATGTCCAAGTCCTAGGCCATGTAAGACTCCAACAAAGATCAAGATCAAGACGAACAAGAAGAGCTTAAGGGAAACATATGTTATTACTAGCGTTGTCGGGGAAGGAACCCTAGCAAGGGTATCTGTCGGGTGTTTTAATGTCAAACACTTCCGAGCAAAACTAAGAAAGGGCACAACCACGTAGAGCAATCACATGTGACCCCCTTTTAGTAAAATGAGTAGACCGCGGAAAGAGTTAAATATACACACGGTCGTCAGACCGTGCGAGTTGGGATTTGAGATTTGAGCGGCTAGAAGAGATGGAGGTCCGCACGAAGGCTGAATGTGGAGTTAGGCGGCTACAACTATAACGAGTAGCCATAGGCATAGTCCACGTCCGCGACATCTAGGGGAGACGCTGCTGAATTATTTTTGGCAGCGATGCAACCAATCGAAGGGGGTGATGTTGCCAAAAGTTTGTCAGACCTGCATCGCCTCTTAAGGGGGTTACATCGCCAAAATTTTGGTGCTGCTATGACCATGATTTTCGGTGGGAATTATGCTGTGGGATCGTCGGTACGTCAACGACAAAGTTTTGGGATGAAGTGTTATTTGATTGCCGCCGGAACGTCAAGGGGTTTCTAAAGGAAGGTGCTGCTGGATTTTCGGCACGACGACGACAAACTTGAACATTTTAAGGAGAGACGTTGTCTGTTTGGGGGCACGATGATTGCTTTTAGTGGTGAGACGCGGTGGTTCACTACGACATGACATATTGTAACGGTGCCGATTATTTTTTCGGGGATGGTATAAGGGCGACGACGACCGTTTAAATGAGTCGAGGTTGTCTGGTGGAGGTGTTATCGAGCGTCCATTGGACTATTGTGCCAAGATTATCCTTGGTCCCGGGTTTCATTTTTTTCAAGGGTGGTCTTGGTCAGCTACACACGGTGACGCTCTCATCCTCTATTTCCTCTGTTTCTTTTTGTTCAAGTTACCTTGAGCAAGAAAGGATGATAGCATTTGAAGTCTACTTGCGGTAGACATAATCTCTCTCTCTCGGAAGCATCTGGGGCAGAGGTCGTTGCTTTAGGAGTCGGCCCTGTTACCGACCTCGAGTGGACCGTTCTTACCGGGGGTACTTCATCGATTCGGTGAAGACAGACTGACTTTTGAGATCCGAGTCTTGTGCTCATGCGAGAAGTACACCAAACCACTTCCTAGAGGGTTGGGTGTGTGCCTGTTGATGGGAGGTTTCAATCTTACCGCAATCTCACCGATTCTCACGCAGTAGGAAGTTGAAATAAACAACCTTTCCGGTGACCGTCTTAGAGGCCACCGTCGGATAAAGAAGTGGCGCCATGAGAGGTCTTGTCTAGTGGGACACTAGTTTGAAGTCGACGCACGTAAGCGCCATTTGCACGGATGGGGTTCTTAGTGTGGACCAGGGATGGGATTAGACAACGATTCTCCTTGCGCAAAGGCAAGGACATTTGTGAACCTTTAGTACCGAGAAAAGTGGCTCAATCATGAGATCCTTGCCAGACATGTAACACTTTGAATAACGCACCTGATTAAGAATCATCCGCTAATTAGCCCGTCCTCCAATGATACTGTTCATACATGGTGACATGAGCAGATGCTTAGTCTTCTGTTAGTGACAGAGTGGAATGGATGACCTCGGCAACGTGCCTCATCAAGTTGAAATGAAGACAGTTTGACCACCTTGTCGACTCCAACGAGGTTATTGTCCAAGTCAACTCACCGTTGGCAGTTCAATATAGTATTTTACTTATATACTTCGACCTTAGGTGGTCGGTTTAACTTTGATCTTGTGTTATTGGCCTTATCATTCCATGCTCGAATACTTTTAGTTATCAATTCAACTCACGATGGATTCAAATGTACTTCCCTATCGACCAGTAGTTGCAATGATTGATTTCGGTATATTTATACTTGATCATTCTATAACGGTCACCTTTGT